GCCCAGGCCAGGAGGCAACTAGGCCGACAAATTGAGAGAGGTGACTCCTGGCAACCTCGCCGGGAGGGAGGCGTCACTGACCCGGGGAAGCTGACTGCTGTTGGGTGAGCGGTCCCCGGGGTGGCCACTCCGAGTCCGGTAAGCAGTCACAGGGTCACCTGGAGACCCGTGGGAGGCAGAGGCAGGAAGGCCTTGTCCATCACTTGGGCCCGGGGCTCTGCTTCCCTGCCCCTCCGCCCCCACTGCGCTGTGCCAAGCTTGTTATTGGGGCCACCGATGTCTGATCGTGGTGCAGGGTGCAGGGTGCAGGTGGGCGGGGTCTCTCCACCAGGGCACACAATCCGGCAGAAGCTAAGGCTGCTGCTCCCTGTGTGGGCCCAGGCAGCTGCCAGGGTCTGTCCTGACCCGGCTCAGGCAGGAGGCTGCAGCCTCCCGACCCTTGTCCCAGGCTGCGGTGGGGGCCTGCTGGGCAGTCTGGTGACAGTGACCTCGCCCAAGAGATGCAGAGCCACCTTCCTCAGGAATGGCCCTCCACCACTTGGGGCCTGGGGGCCACCTGAGGTGGGGAATCCACAGGAGGGGGCCTTTGTGCCTCAGACTCTGGGGAAATCTGCTCGGCTTCCTCCCCACCCCATCACCCTAACCCTGACCCTGTGCTCACCTGGGCGGCAGCCACCTCCTCCAGATGTCCCCACACTCGAAGCTGCGCCCCCTGCCCTCCCTCGATCCAAACCCTCCATCCAGCTGCCCTCCCGAGGCCTCACATGGAGTCAAGTACACCCACTCGCGGGCCTTCCTCCTGTCAAGTCAGGGAGGGGACAGGGCCCAGGGAAGGGGCAGAGCCAGGAGGGGCTCATACCAGGCCCAAGGTCAAGAAGAGACAGTGAGTGGTGCAGCCAGCCGCAGGCTGCATCTCACACATGGTGCGGGGTGGGCATGCACTGGCAGGCACTCACACACGCAGGGCATGCCGGCCCCCAACTCCCTGCTCCCAAGCGCCCTGTCTCCAGCCTTCCTCCCTGAATCTCCTGTTTGTTTGGGAAACTTGAGCCACTCGCCTGAGCTTATGGCCTGTCTGGGCTGGCTGCCTGTGCCCAGGTCAGGGGCCCGCCCAAGGCGCTGTCCCCACCCCTGCTGGCCCTGCCCCGCCCTGGCCTGCACTACCCCTCCCCCTTGCTGGGAAGTCAGGTGCTCATTTCCCCATTGCCATTCCCGGCCAGATGTCAGGGGCCAGGGCAGGGCCCTGACCCCCCAGAAGCCCCTCATCTGGTGTAGATGCCATAGTGAGTGGCTCCCCTGGGCTCACAGACCCCGGGGGGTCCTAGAATGAGGCATGCTGGAGAGGGCCCAGCCCTAGGGGAGGCAAATGCCAGTACAGGTGGGCAAAAAGCGCCCAGGCTGGGTTCCCGGAAGCGGAGTCTGTCTGAGGCAGGGTCACCGGGCGTGGCCTCAGGAAGGGAAGGGAGGAGGAAGCAGGGTGGACAAAGGAGAAGTTGGCCTGTCCGGCCATCTCATGAACCCCCAGAAGCAGATCTGGACAATCCCTGTGGCCACCCTAGTCAGGCTGTGCCCTTGAGCCTGGCTCTTCCTGGGGAAGTGCAGAAAGAAGTTTTGCAGTGTGGACCTGGCCTCTGGGGCCACCTCCCTGTCCTCCAGACCAGATGCCCTCAACCCAGGTGCACCTGCTGGCTCAGGGCTTGTCAGGTGTGACCAGGTCCTCTTCCCTGAGGGTCCCCTCTAGGGCTGGGGATGATGTTCTGTTTACTATGAGAACCAGACAGGGCAGACCAGGTCCCTGCACCCTGCCTGCCCCTGTGGCACCGCCTCCTGGTGCTCAGACCTGTCCCCTGCCAGATGGGAGCCTCGACCTGGCTGCTTGCTCCTGGGACACGATGGGCTGGAGTGGTCTGGGAGCAGCATAGCCTTTGGCTTGGTGACACTAGCTGTGTGCCCTGGCAGAAGTGTTCCTCCTCCAGGGACCAGGACATCTAAGCTTACCCACCCCAGAGCTGTGGGGTCGAGGAGTCCAAGCTCCATCATGGATCAGTGGGGGATGGTGGATGGGCCACTGTGGCTGCCAGGCCTTGGTTCCTGGACCCCTGTGGCCCACCTCCTGGGAAACACGCACATGGGAAGCCATGTTTTTGAGTGGTATAGCCGACTTCCTGGGGAATGGTGCCCTAGCCTGCAAGGCGTCATTGGGGAGCTGGTACTCCGGCTGTGCCTTCAGGAAGTTGTTCCTACATCCTGTCAGGCCAGCAGCTTTTGGCTGGGGCAGATTGTGATGTGACCAGCGGGTCCATGGCTAGTTGCACCATGAAGACAGGCGCCCGGGCATCCCTGTGGCGCACTGGCCAGCTGACCAGACGTCTGCAGCCTCTTGCGAGCTTTCTCCAATGCTGGTCGTTGAGCAGCGGCCCCACTCCATGGTCCTCTGCATCCTCCACGTCTTCTCAGCCACCTGACACTGCGTCCTGAGCATGGCCCCTCAGGACAGCTGAGCTGCAGTGCTGCTTCCTGGAGCCCTGGCTCTGCGCTCGGCCAGTGGGGTGATGGAGAGCCCTCCGGGTCCGGCTCCGTGTCTGAGGCTCTGAGCAGCCCGTCAGCGGCAGGATGCCCGGAAGAAGCCCAGGACCAGTATCTACAGAAGGGAAGGGAGGGGGCCAGGGTTTTACCAAGGTGGGTAGGGGGGCTGCAGTCTTAACAGGTGGCCCTGAAGGGCATCTCCAAGCCTCAGCAGCCCTCAGAGTTGCCCCTGGAGCATGCCCTTCGTGAGACCAGATGTGGGGAGAGGGGATGGGGAGGACCCAGTGCCTTCTAGGGTTAGGCTCTGCATGTTCACAGAGCACGAGCAGCATGGAGTACCTGTGAGGCCTCCAGGAGGCAGCTGGGCACATGGTTTTGGGACCCAGGACAGGCTGAGCTCCTGCTGCAGATGTGGGAAGCTGAGGATAGGTGGGAGGAGGTCTCAGAGTTAATGGGGGAACGAAGATAGAGCGGAACCGTCACCGGAGAGGGGAGCCCCTATAGCCCGCGTCGTGGAGGTGGGTGGCGGCCAGCTCCAAAGTGCATTTGTTGAGTTTGGCAGCCGGGGATGGCGGCTGCCTCAAGAGCGGTGGAGTGGGAGTGGGGGTCAAACGTGGGGTCCAGCCCTTCTCCTGAAACCCTTGTGCAGAGGTAGGGAAGGGTTGTCATGGACAGGCTGCTGAGCAGAGGGAGGCTCCAGCCGGAATGAGGGGGAGAACCAAGAGAGGGACTGGGGCCCGTAGTGCTAAGAAAACGGGGAGCAGACCCTGCTCTCGGGTGGATGGGCACAGGGGTGCAGAAGACTGGCCGGGGGCCTAAAGAGCAGGAAATTACTCTCACAGCTCTGGAGGCCAGAAGCCGGAAGGCGAGGAGTGGGCAGGGCCGCACTCCCTCCAGAGCTGAGGGGTGGATCCTTCCTGTCTCTTCCAGCTTCTGGGGCCCCAGGCGTCCTGGGAATTCCTTGGCTTGTAGATCCAATTTCTGCCTCTGTCATCACAAGGCTGTCCTCTCCCTGTGTGTCTGTCTTCTTATAAGGACACTAGTTACGTTGGCTAAGAGCCAATCCTAGCCTGGTATGACCTCACCTTAACCGGGTGACACCTGCAAGGATCCTATTTCCAAATAAGGTCACGTTCACAGGGACTGTAGATTAGGATTTAGGCATACTTTTTTTTTTTTTTTGCGGTGGCCGGATCTCAGCTCACTGCAAGCTCCGCCTCCCGGGTTTACGCCATTCTCCTGCCTCAGCCTCCCTAGTAGCTGGGACTACAGGCGCCGCCACCTTGCCCGGCTAGTTTTTTGTATTTTTTTTTTAGTAGAGACGGGGTTTCACCGTGTTAGCCAGGATGGTCTCGATCTCCTGACCTCTTGATCCGCCCGTCTTGGCCTCCCAAAGTGCTGGGATTACAGGCTTGAGCCACTGCGCCCGGCCTAGTCATACCTTTTTAAGGAACATAATTCAACCTGGTGCAGTAGGGGACAGGCCTGGGTGGAGGCAGTTGACGTGCAGGACTGGGGGGATGGAGGTGAGGCACCTGCTGCCCTGCTCAGAGCCAGTCGTACAGCTGTGCGTGGAAGGGGTCAGCACAGGGCATGTTGGGGCTGCAGCCGGAGGACCAGGGCCCATGGGGGGGAGAGAGAGCCTTGCCTGGCCTGCACACGGCTCCTGGCAGGACTGCCACACGTCTGCTGAGCCAGCGGTCCCCGGGGCAGGGGGTGGGCTCAGAGGGGCAGTAGCCCAGAGGCCGTGGTGCTCGCGGATGTGAGATCCAGGACAGGCAGAGGAGGATGCAGGGCCAGGCTGAGGCAGGAGACCAGAGCTTCAGATGGCTGGGGTCTTGCTGGAGCCTGGTGGATGGCTGTGGAGGGAGGGCGGGGCCTCAGGAGCCGGAGGAGGCAGCAGAGGCTTCTCTGGAGTGACAGGTGCAGGTGGGGTGGGAGGTTTCAAGAGGTCACTGGAGCTGGGGTGGGGCAGGGCATGGGGCACAGCCTTTGGAGAACAAAAGAGAGGCACCCAGAGGCGGAGAGATGCTGGTGCCCAGGCCGAGGGGTGGGCCCTGTGGGTGGAGCCACAGCCCCCTTGGAGCAGGGCTGGGCCCCTCAGGCAGGGTTGGGGAGGGGACCAGGGTGCCCAGGAAGGACTCGAGGACACAGGGCCCTGGGCTGGCGGGAGGGCGTTGGCCTGGGGTGGAGGTTGAAGGACAGCCTGTGGGAGGGACAGCCCTGGAGTCCCTAGAGGCCTCCCGGCTCCACCTGGGCCCCTGTGCTCACACGGTCCCTCTGAGCTTGCACTTCCCTTGGCAGTCCCGCCGCGGAGTGCTCCCCGGGCAGACTCAGCTCCTCGGGGACTCTGGCTGCGCGTCTGTGGGCAGAGCCCAGCCCGGGACAGCATGGGATTGGCCCTGTGACCACATCTTCCCCTGTGCCCACCAGGTCATGGGGGGTCCCTGATTGAGCCTTTCTGTCCCCTGCAGGACAGAGGTGGACCTCTGCAGGCTCTGCATAACCAGCTGTGTGTGATGAGTGGCCACACCTTGCCTCCTCTTCCCGTCCCGGGCACCAACAGCACGGAGCAGGCCAGCGTCCCCAAAGCCATGGCAGCCACGTTGGGAGCCAGCACGCTCCCCAGGCCCCAGGCCAGGAGCATAGCTGGGGTGTATGTGGAGGCCTCAGACCAGGCCCAGAGTGTCTACACTGCCATGGAGCAGGGCCTTCTGCCTCCTGGGCTTGGGCTGGCTCTGCTAGAGGCCCAGGCGGCCACCGGGGGTCTGGTGGATCCCACCCAGGGCCAGCTGCTCTCTGTGTCCAAGGCCCTGCAGCAGGGCCTGGTGGGGCTGGAGCTGAAAGAGAAGCTGCTGATGGCTGAGCGTGCCGCTACGGGCTACCCTGACCCCTACGGGGGTGAGAAGCTGGCCCTCTTTCAGGCCATTGGGAAGGAGGTTGTGGACACGGCCCTGGGGCAGAGCTGGCTGGAGGCCCAGCTGGCCACTGGGGGCCTGGTGGATCCTGCCCAGGGCGTGCTTGTGGCCCCTGAGCCAGCCTGCCACCAGGGCCTCCTGGACCGGGAGACATGGCACAAGCTGTCAGAGCTTGAGCCTGGCACAGGCGTCCTGCGCTTCCTCGACCCCAACACGCTGGAGCGGCTGACGTACCACCAGCTGCTGGAAAGGTGTGTGCGGGCCGCCGGCTCGGGGCTAGCCCTGCTGCCCCTCAAGATCACCTTCCGCTCTGAGGGCGGGGCAGTGAGTGCAGCCGAGCTGCTGGAGGTGGGCATCCTGGACGAGGAGGCTGTGCAGGGTCTGCAGGAGGGCAGGCTGGCCACAGCGGACGTGAGTGCACGTGCCGAGGTGCGGCGCTACCTGGAGGGTACCGGCAGCGTGGCTGGGGTTGTCCTGCTGCCTGAAGGCCAAAAGAAGAGCTTCTTCCAGGCTGCTACCGAGCACCTGCTCCCAATGGGCACTGCACTGCCACTCCTAGAGGCCCAGGCTGCCACCCACACCCTAGTGGACCCCACCACAGGCCAGCGGCTGTGGGTAGATGAGGCAGTCAGGGCGGGCCTGGTCAGCCCAGAGCTCCACGAGCAGCTCCTGGTGGCCGAGCAGGCCGTGACAGGGTACCACGACCCCTTCAGTGGCTCCCAAATACCACTCTTCCAGGCCATGAAGAAGGGGCTAGTGGACAGGCCACTGGCACTGCGGCTCCTGGATGCCCAGTTGGCCACAGGCGGGCTGGTCTGTCCAGCACGCAGGCTCCGGCTGCCCCTGGAGGCCGCCCTGCGCTGCGGCTGCCTGGATGAAGACACTCAGCGACAGCTCTCGCAGGCTGGCGGCTTCTCAGACCGTGGCACGTGCGGTGGCCTGCGCTATGAACAGCTGCTGGCCCGCTGTGTCACTGACCCAGAGACTGGGCTCGCCTTCCTGCCACTCTCAGGGGGACCCCGGGGAGGGGAGCCCCAGGGACCCCCATTCATCAAGTACAGCACTCGGCAGGCCCTGAACGCAGCTACAACCACCGTCTCCGTGGGGAAGTTCCGGGGCCGGCCCGTGTCCCTCTGGGAGCTGCTCTTCTCTGAGGCCATCCCCGCAGAGCAGAGGGCAATGCTGGCCCAGCAGCACCAGGAAGGGGCCCTCTCCGTGGAGAAGATGGCCGCTGAGCTGAGCGCCACCCTCCAGCAGGCTGCAGCCACTGCCAGGGTCACCTTTTCTGGGCTGAGGGACACCGTGACACCAGGAGAGCTGCTGAAAGCCGAGATCATCGACCAGGACCTGTACGAGCGGCTGGAACATGGACAGGCCACAGCCCAGGATGTGGGCAGCCTGGCCTCGGTGCAGAGGTACCTGCAGGGTACAGGCTGCATTGCTGGCCTGCTGCTCCCCGGCTCCCAGGAACGCCTGAGCATCTATGAGGCCCGATGCAAGGGGCTCCTCCGGCCCGGCACTGCCCTCATCCTTCTGGAGGCACAAGCTGCCACGGGCTTCATCATCGACCCGAAAGCAAACAAGGGGCACTCCGTTGAGGAGGCACTGAGGGCTGGTGTCATTGGGCCCGATGTGTTCACGAAGCTGCTGTCAGCCGAGCGCGCTGTCACCGGCTACACCGACCCCTACACCGGGCAGCAGATCTCCCTCTTCCAGGCCATGCAGAAAGGCCTCATCGTCCGGGAGCACGGCATCCGCCTGCTGGAGGCCCAGATCGCCACGGGCGGCGTCATCGACCCCGTGCACAGCCACCGCGTGCCCGTGGACGTGGCCTACCGGCGCGGCTACTTCGATCAGATGCTGAACTTGATCCTATTGGACCCTTCTGATGACACCAAGGGCTTCTTCGACCCCAACACACACGAGAACCTCACGTACCTGCAGCTTCTGGAGCGCTGCGTGCGTGACCCCGAGACGGGCCTGTACCTCCTGCCACTCAGCGGCGTGCAGTCTCCCCTGGTGGATGGTGCCACCCGGCAGGCCTTCCAGAACCTGCTGCTCTCCGTGAAGTACGGGCGGTTTCGGGGGCAGAGGGTCTCTGCGTGGGAGCTGGTCAACTCTGAGTACTTCAGCGAGGGCCGCAGGAGGCAGCTGCTGCGTGGCTACCGGCGGCGTGAGGTCACGCTGGGGCAGGTGGCACAGCTGCTGGAGGCGGAGACGCAGAGACAGGCGGACGTCATGCTGCCCTCGCTGCGGGGCCAGGTCACCATCCACCAGCTCCTGGAGGCCCGTATCATTGACCAGCACCTGTTGGACCAAGTGCTGGCCAGGACAGTCAGCCCCGAGGCACTCCTACTCATGGACGGCGTCCGCAGGTACCTGTGCGGCCTGGGAGCTGTGGGCGGCGTGCGGCTGCTGCCCTCCGGCCAGCGGCTTAGCCTCTATCAGGCCATGAGGCGGAAGCTGCTGGGGCCCAGTGTGGCCCTGGCCCTGCTGGAGGCTCAGGCAGCCACCGGAGCCATCGTGGACCCTCACAGCCTGGAGAGCCTCTCGGTGGACGAGGCCGTGCGCAGGGGTGTGGTGGGGCCGGAGCTGTATGGCAGGCTGAAGCGGGCTGAGGGTGCCATCACTGGCTTCAGAGACCCCTTCTCTGGGAAGCAGGTGTCTCTGTTCCAGGCCATGAAGAAAGGTCTCATCTCTTGGGAGCAAGCTGTCCGCCTCCTGGAGGCTCAGGTGACCACGGGAGGGGTCATTGACCCCACTGGCCACCACCACCTCCCCATGCCAGTGGCCATTCAGCGTGGCTGTGTTGACCAGGAGATGGAGACAGCCTTGTCCAGCTCCTCCGAGACCTTCCCCACACCCGACGGCCAGGGACGCACCAGCTATGCCCGGCTCCTGGAGCAGTGCCCCAGGGATGAGGCTTCTGGCCTTCACCTCCTGCCCCTGCCAGAAAGTGCTCCTGCCCTCCCCACCGAGGAGCAAGTCCAGAAGAGCCTGCAGGCCATGCCGGGGGCTGAGGACGGCACATCCCTCTGGGACCTGCTCAGCTCCTGCCACTTCACTGAAGAGCAACGGAGGGGCCTGCTGGAGGACGTGCAGGAGGGGAGGACCACTGTACCACAGCTGCTAGCCTCTGTGCAGAGGTGGCTACAGGAGACTAAGCTCCTGGCCCAAGCTCATGTCATGGTGCCCGGCCCGCGGGGTGAGATCCCCGCCGTCTGGCTGCTGGATGCTGGCATCATCACCCAGGAGACCCTTGAGGCCCTGGCTCAGGGCACGCAGTCGCCCGCCCAGGTCGCTGAGCAGCCGGCGGTGAAGGCCTGCCTGTGGGGCACAGGCTGCGTGGCTGGTGTGCTGCTGCAGCCCTCTGGGGCCAAGGTCAGTATCGCCCAGGCCATGAGGGACGGCCTCCTGCCCACAGGCCTGGGCCAGAGGCTGCTGGAAGCCCAGGTGGCATCTGGCTTCCTTGTCGATCCCCTGAACAACCAGAGACTGTCGGTGGAGGACGCGGTTAAGGTCGGCCTGGTGGGCAGGGAGCTGAGTGAGCAGCTTGGGCAGGCCGAGAGGGCGGTGGCCGGGTACCCAGATCCCTACTCTGGGGGCTCCCTCTCTCTGTGGCAGGCCATGGAGAAGGGACTCGTGCCACAGAACGAGGGCTTGCCCCTCCTGCAGGTGCAGCTGGCCACAGGAGGTGTGGTGGACCCTGTCCACGGGGTGCACCTGCCCCAGGCAGCAGCCTGCAGACTCGGCCTTCTGGACACACAGATGAGCCAGGTGCTAACAGCAGTTGACAAGGACAACAAGTTCTTTTTTGACCCCAGTGCGCGGGACCAGGTGACCTACCAGCAGCTCAGGGAGCGCTGCGTGTGCGACTCCGAGACTGGCTTGTTGCTGCTGCCACTGCCCTCAGACACAGCACTTGAGGTGGACGACCACACTGCAGTGGCTCTTAGGGCCATGAAGGTGCCCGTCAGCACAGGGAGGTTTAAGGGGTGTAGTGTGTCGCTCTGGGACCTGCTGCTCTCCGAGTACGTCTGCGCTGACAAGCGGCGGGAGCTGGTGGCACTCTGTCGGTCTGGGAGGGCTGCAGCCCTGCGGCAGGTGGTCAGCGTGGTCACTGCCCTGGTCGAGGATGCAGAGAGGCAGCCCCTGCAGGCCACCTTCAGAGGGCTCCGGAAGCAGGTGTCAGCCAGGGACCTGTTCAGGGCACAGCTGATCAGCAGGAAGACGCTGGACGAGCTGAACCAGGGGACGATGACGGTGAAGGAGGTGGCAGAGACGGACAGCGTGAGGCAGTTCCTGGAGGGAGGCAATTTCATTGCCGGGGTCCTTGTCCAGGGCACCCAGGAGAGGATGAGCATCCCAGAAGCCCTGAGGAGGCACATCCTGCGGCCTGGCACAGCTCTGGTACTGCTGGAGGCACAGGCAGCTACTGGCTTCATCATCGACCCTGTGGAGAACCGGAAGCTGACCGTGGAGGAGGCGTTCAAAGCAGGGATGTTTGGCAAAGAAACCTACGTGAAGCTGCTGTCGGCCGAGCGCGCCGTCACCGGCTACACCGACCCCTACACTGGGCAGCAGATCTCCCTCTTCCAGGCCATGCAGAAGGGCCTCATCGTCCGGGAGCACGGCATCCGCCTGCTGGAGGCCCAGATTGCCACGGGCGGCATCATTGACCCCGTGCACAGCCACCGTGTGCCCGTGGACGTGGCCTACCGGTGTGGCTACTTTGATGAGGAGCTGAACCGCATCCTGGCGGACCCCAGCGACGACACCAAGGGCTTCTTTGACCCCAACACACACGAGAACCTCACGTACCTGCAGCTTCTGGAGCGCTGCATGGAGGACCCCGAGACGGGCCTGTACCTGCTACAAATCATAAAGAAAGGAGAAACCTACGTGCATATCAGTGAGGCCATGAGACACGAGTTGCAATCTAGAACTGCAAAAATGCGCGTGGGGAGGTTTGCTGACCAGGTGGTCTCTTTCTGGGACCTGCTGTCCTCTCCATACTTCACAGAGGACAGGAAGCGGGAGCTCATCCAGGAGTATGGAACCCAGAGTGGGGGCCTGGAGAAATTGCTGGAAATCATCACCAAGACAATTGAAGAAACAGAGACGCAAAACCAAGGCATCAAGGTGGCGGCCATCAGAGGGGAGGTGACAGCTGCAGAGCTGTTCAACTCCGGGGTCATCGATCAGAAGACCCTGCATACACTTCGTGCGGGGAGGACTGGGGGACAAGCACTCAGCACACTGGAGTGTGTAAAGCCTTACCTGGAAGGCAGCGGCTACATTGCAGGGGTGATGGTGCCCTCCACCAGGGAGGTCATGAGCCTTCATGAGGCCAGCAGGAAGGAGCTCATCCCTGTAGGATTTGCGACTTGGCTGCTGGAGGCACAGGCTGCGACTGGGTTCCTCCTGGACCCCTGCACCCACCAGAGGCTCTCCGTGGACGAGGCTGTGGATGTGGGCCTGGTGAGCGAGGAGCTACGGGAGAGGCTCCTGAAGGCCGAAAGGGCTGCCACGGGCTACAGGGATCCAGCCACGGGAGACACAATCCCACTGTTCCAGGCCATGCAGAAGCAGCTCATTGAGAAGGCAGAGGCACTGAGGTTGCTGGAGGTGCAGGTGGCCACGGGGGGTGTCATCGACCCACTGCACCACCACCGGCTCCCACTGGAAACCGCCTACAGACGTGGCTGTCTGAAAGAGGACATCTATGCGCTCATTTCTAACCAGAAGCACATGAGGAAACGGTTTGTGGACCCGAACACGCAGGAGAAGGTCTCCTACCGAGAGCTGCAGGAGAGGTGCCACCCGCAAGAGGACACTGGCTGGGTGCTCTTCCCAGTGAACAAGGATGCACGGGACTCCGAATACATAGACGACGAGACGAGAAGGGCCCTGGAGGCAGAGCAAGTGGAAATAACAGTGGGAAGGTTCAGAGGTAAGAAGCCAACACTGTGGGCACTGCTGAATTCAGAATACGTGACGGAGGAGAAGAAGCTCCAGCTGGTGAGGATGTACAGAATGGACACGAGCCGGGCACTGCAGAAGGTAGCACACGAGATCTCAGACATGATTGAGAAGCAGGAAAACAGCAACAAACAACTGTGGTTCCAAGGAATTAGAAGACAGATCACAGCCTCTGAACTCCTCAGCTCAGCCATAATCACGGAGGAAATGCTCCGGGATCTGGAAACAGGGCGGAGCACGACACAACAGCTCCGGGAGGACGACCGCATCAAGCGCTACCTGGAGGGCACCAGCTGCATCGCGGGCGTCCTGGTGCCCGCCAAGGACGAGCCCGGCCGCCAGGAGAAGATGAGCATCTACCAGGCCATGTGGAAGGGCGTGCTGCGGCCCGGCACGGCCCTGGTGCTGCTGGAGGCGCAGGCGGCCACCGGCTTCGTCATCGACCCCGTGCGCAACCTGAGGCTGTCGGTGGAGGAGGCCGTGGCCGCGGGCGTGGTGGGCCGGCGAGATCCAGGAGAGCTGCTGCGGCCGAGCGCGCCGTCAGCCGGCTACAGCCGACGCCCATAGCACCGGGCACGCAGATTGCCCTCTTCAGCCATGAGAAGGACCTGCATCGTCCGGAGCACGGCATCGCCTGCTGGAGGCCCCAGATCGCCACGGGCGGCGTCATCGACCCCGTGACAGCCACCCGGTGCCCGTGGACGTGGCCTACCGGCGCGGCTACTTCGACGAGGAGATGAACGCGCGTCCTGGCGGACCCCAGCGCGACACCAAGGGCTTCTCTTCGACCCCACACCACGAGAACCTCACGTACGTGCACTGCTGCGCCGCTGCGTGCGCGACCCGGGACAGCGGGGCTCTACGATGCTGGCAGCTGGCAGAGACCGGGGCTCCGCGCCGTGCAACAGCTGAGCGAGGAGCTGCGCCTGTGCCGCTGCGGACGCCCGTGATGACGCCCAGGGTCGACGCCCTCCAGGGGAGTCGTGGCACTACCCGGGCAGGAAGAGGAATTCGCCCTTGAGTCTGGGTTCGACCCAGGGCGCCCCTGGCAACGCAAAGTGGAGACCTATTTGGACCCATAAAAATCAAAAACTTTGCCAGGTGTGTTGTGCCCATGCTGTAGGGTCCCCCAGCATCTCCCCAGCGGAGGCTGTGATGGGAAGAAGATCACTTTGGGAGGTCCTCTCCCGCGGACTTTGAGGCTGACCCCAGGAGGTGGTAAGCTTGATAGGTGTACGCCCAATGCCCCTGTGTTGCCAGCGCATGCCTGTGACATAACGAGTGGACCTATTGTGCAAATACGGGCGCTAGGCGAACGCTGAGCGTGTGAGGAGTGGGCCCTCCCCTCACTCGCTGGCTGGCCCAGGCCGAAGGCTAATAGTATATAAGAAGGCCTTAAGAGGAGTGTGAAGACAAAGAGCGGCACGCCAGAGCCACTGGCAGGCTCTTGCGTGCGTGTCACATCGCTCGAGCGTCATGGGTTGGGGTCGCCTCGCGGCCCTGTATGAGACAGCGCGGGTGCCCGTAGTTGAGTGGCGTCACGGCTACGGTGAGGCCGGGGCGCCCGGGAGGAGCTGTCTGGCCGGTTTGGTCAGGGCTGCTGACCTTGCCCGCACTGACGCGGGTGACGCTCATCATCCCGAGACCGAGAGAGAGCCCCGGGCCCCCCGCAGTCTCAACGCCTCCTGGCCGTGGGAGCCAGGCCACCCGGCAAGGTTTACTCGCGCGATGGCGATTCGGGGCGTCGGGCCAGGGCGAGGCTCAGGCCCATTTTTGTCCTGTCCCGTGGTTGCCGGTGTGTCGCCCCTGCTGGTCCGCTTCCGCTGTGTGATTGGAACTTTCTTATGTTGTATGTATACAAATATGCAGAGTGACACTCACGAGGAGAGGAGAAGTGGAAGGGGCGGTGATCCTGGAATGACGAAGGAGAGTCTCTCTGCTCCGTGAGATTCGGTCGCTTCGCGCCACATGTGGCGCGCCCAGCACAGAACTGTGATTCGCTCTGGCCCAGCGAGTAGGCCGCAGGTGGGAAACCAGAAAAGGTTGCCGCGCCGGGTCCTGGGCGTTTTTTTGAGAAAAGTGCTTCTCTGCCGACTCGTCCGCTTCGTGTCCTCACTGTCTGTTGATGATTGAGGACGGGTCGGCGCTCGGGTTTTTGTCTCAGCATAGGTGTCTTCGGGCCTTTGGAGGGCGCCAGGTGTCCGGCTTCCGAGCTGCAATCGTCTGGGATCTGTGGCGAGGACCTGCGGGACCTGCCAGGGATGTGTTGTGTGTGTGTGAGGATGGGTGTTGTTGGTCAACTGGTCTCACCGGTATTGAAGGGACTGGCTGTGATCATGGCGGCGGGGCGTCCTGTGCCGTGCCTGAAAGGACGAGGCTCCTTTGGAGGCGTCGCTATGATTTATTCAGTCACCGAGAGAATGAAATGATAGCATTCTACCAGGACATCCGTGGTATCTATATATTTTGTGTGTTGTATATGTGTGTGGTTACGCGTGCTGATGAGCAACCGCACACTAACCGGCCCGTGGTGACTGCTAGGTCAGTGAGCGCAGTAGCATGTAGGTATGCCGGCTTGTCACATCGATACTCCTGGACAAGTGCGCCATGGCTGCGGCTCGTAGCATCGC